GCACCCAGCTGCCGGGGAGAACTCAGAATGTGTAGTTTTTGGGCAGGCGGTATTTCAAGCTTCCCACTCTCTCGTGCCCGCGAATACCGCCTGCTACGCAGGCTAACACACAGGCTGCTTTCAAGAGCACACATTCCATTCTCATTCATAAACCAATCAAAAGCTTGCTTCTAAAAAACGTGAAGCGCTGACTCAGCAAACAACTTGAACAGACAAAAACAAAATGGCGGACATATTTGTATCAGCATTACAAAATATGTCATTGAAGTTTAAAATAGCAGAATTAAAAGAATATCAGAAGTTAGCGATACGGAAATTCGTTCTTGAAGTAAGGAAGTTTTTGTTAATCTACCAACTGGTAGTGGTAAATTTACCAGGGATTGCCAGTCATTTTTGACACAACAACGGGAACGTCAGGGCACATTATAGCGGTCCTATCGCCATTGTTAAATTTAATAAACGACCAGGTGAATCATCTCAATTGTTTGGGCATCAGGGCGGTTAATTTGAGTAACGTGAAGAATGAAGAAGAGCGCATTATGGTGGAACACGGAGCGTTTTCCATTGTTTACGGTACACCTGAAGCTTGGCTGAAGAATGAGCGATGGCGTGAAATGTTGCACAATTCTGTTTACTCAGAAAAACTTTGCGCTATCGCTATTGACGAAGCTCACGTTCTGAAGCAATAGTAAGATGTGACTAAATTTGTGTAAAGCGCAAAATACTCGTATATTATACGGGAAGAGTATACTGTAATAACACCGTAAAATAATTGATTTATTGTCAAACAGGGGTGTAGGAGGCTGATCAATATTGTGGGGGGGGGGGAGGGGGGAGCAACTCAAAAAGGTCATAGATGTGCTGATGTCAATACCCAACTAGGGAGCTCTTGGGCCCCCTAAGAAAATATTTGAAATCTAGACCACCTGAAATGGCATTTTCAGTCATTGGGAAGAATTTCCTTGTCCACATGTAATGCATGAGTCAATTCCTGGATTAACCATCCCCCCCCCCTGGAACACCCCCGGGAATTTGCCTGTCATATATGTGCACTGCGGCCGGGTATTGTTGTAGTAGCTGAGACCCCAGCGATTTGACAAATGTTTCACTTTTGCAAAAATTATTACCTGTGCCATGTGAATTTAAATAAAACTATTAAAGGTTTATGATTTTGTTATTTAAATCCTTTTAATCAGCAAGATTCATGTTTATATTAAAGTTTCATAATATATCATAGCAGTTTAATAGTATGTTATTAAATCAACTATACATATATGCCATTAAAAGTTTAATTAATATTCAAAATCATCCCCGGGGTGGGGCATTTTCCACTCTCGGCCTGCCCAAGGGCCGTGCATTAGTCTCCTAGTTATGTCCCTGCACCTGGGCTTTTGCCCTATCGTAACCAATCAAATCAAATTTCAGAGTGT